AAAAAAAAAAAAAAAAAAAAAAAGATAAAACATTAAAAAAAAGAAAAAGTAAAGGAATAAAATAGAATATAATTTTTTTCTAATTATGGTATATATATTGAAGCAGTTCTCAAATTATGATTTTTATTTTCCTCTAATTATTTATAGCCTCTAAACTTCACATGGTGAATATACATTCCTATTGTAAAAAGAATAAAAAATATGCTGTTACATACACACACACACACACACACACACACGCACACAAATATCCCAACATTTTAACAAGGGTTATCTCTGGATAGTAGGATATTTTGGTTGATATAAACTCTACCTACACATCAGTTTTTCCTAATATTTTCTGGAAGGAGCACATGAGACTTACCTAACTGGAAAAGTAATTTACATTCCCTCAGGAATTGCTTCTAATATTATATCAGAGAATTAACAAAATGTTAAATTTACACAAGCATAATCACTCAGCTTCTTAGATTTAGTCAAAAGGGTATGTATATCTAACAATCTTGATAATGACAGATAAAGCAGGTATGGGCTTTCAACAAACTGTCTTCTGAATACAGTTTCTTCCATCTCTGGCTTTGGTTCTCCAGTTCAATATTCATTGTTTACATTTACCTAGTGCTATTTATATGAGCCAAACAAAGACTAAGAATTCAGGGCCTCTCACTGTCGCAGTAACTTCAGATTCTTCTTTTGTGAAATGAATAAAATGGCAAGGTTTGTATCACAGTCAGATTTTCAGAGAACTTAATTTTTCCTTTATGAGAGAAATTTAAAAATATTATTTGAAAAGTTGAAGAATGGAAATCAAGCAGAACCCAGTTATTTTGGCCAACAGCAATGTGTTCTAGTATAGACAGAGAATGTTTTATTTCCCAATGTCGTCTTTTCCAGGGTGAGTGTAGGAAAAAGAAATGGAGGCATGCGTTCTAGTGGTCCCATAGTCCACTAGTTCCTTGTTCAATCTGTGGCAACTTCCATAAATGTGGTGCTATCTTACCAAATTAAAAACTCAGAGTTGGTCCAACTGACACCGAAATATCTTCAAACCTCAAGATTTGAAATCCTATGTTAAGGTCAATTGCTTAAAGGGCTAAACTTGCTTAGTTAACAGCACCAGAAAAATACCAATCCTGCATTATTCTGTGGATCATATGTGCATGTCTGATAGCATAGACATATGCTATCATAAGACAGGTAAAACCTTCACTTGCCTCTACTCAAACAGAATAAAGTGAGAAGCGAGAATAACACTGTATGTTAATGATACTGGAATTAAAATAAAATACATATACATACACATATACAAGCCCTCACAAGAGCTTAGTTACACTGTAGTAGGGCTAAAAAGATAGAAATGCAACAACAGCATTTTCTACATTTCACAAACAGAGTATTTGGGGGTTGTGCATAGTGTCCCTTTGTGTTGAGATAGTGTTACTGGACTCTGAATTAGTATATTCAAAGACTCACTTCCTTTCTGATTGCCCATAATTCCTCCTCAAGAATCTGTGACTGTCTTTCATTATTTTCAGATGTTTCAGTATTTTATTACAGTTCTGTCTTGTAAGAACAATACCTGTATAACTCTTAACGTTCCCTTCAACACAGAGGGACAAGAATTAGCATAACACTTCAGAAATTGCTTTGCCTCCTTCAATCACTTTTCTTCTGGGCTGTCACGTTCCGTTCTACTTGTTCCTCCCAGGATAGGCCCTGCGCTTGGGAAGAAGGACAAAGACTTGCTCTGGTTCAGTCCTGCTACTGTGTGGGTAAACCTTTCAATTCTGGGATTCAGTATTAGGAACTCACTTGTCCACAGACATAAGCCACCTTCCCTAATGTTCACTATATCCATAATAAAACAAGTATTTTCACCTCCATCTGACAACATTTTATCTAATATTCGGTTGATTCAGAATCTAGATGGGGAAAGCTGTGTTAGGTTACTAGATCTCCAATACTACTATTACAAGAACTACCGATGCTACTATTTTTAACACTACCTATGGCTGTCTCACATCAGCCAAATCTAGCACAAAGGGTGTGTATTAGATACTGCATACCAGTCAGAAGCCTGCTTAAGAATTCCATATTACCAGGTAGGGCTTTGCAGGAGAAGGGCTTGGGCAGAAGATAGTCATAAGGCAGTATATATACGAGTTTATTCAATAAATACCTTTCCCCACACAGAAATCTTAGATAAGAAAATCACATAGCATTCATTATATTGCCCCTAACTTGAATCCTCTCCTACCATCCCTATCACAGAGAATGGATTCTGAAGTTGTCCAAGCTAGATAACTTGACATGTCTTCTCTTA